CAAATTGAACACACTGTGAACTTGTACCCAGAATGTTCTTCATGCCCCCTTCCAGTCACTAACTACCCCTTCCCCCAAGATAACCTGTTTTTAAACTTAGTCTAATTTTAATTATTTAGTATATACTTTTTTTGTGTCTGGCTTCTTTCACTCAACATTATGTTTATGAAATTTATCCTCATTGCTCTAGTTTTCCATTGATTGAATAGGCCACAATTTAGCTCTTCTACTTGGGTGGACATTTGGATTGCTTACAATTTGGAGTTGTTACAATGAATTCTTGCACATATATCTTTGTGTATATGTGCATGTTTTTGTTAGATATATACCTAGAAATGAAACACCTGGGACATTTGTTAAATGAATGTTAAATGTTTGTGGATACAGTCAGTTTTCAACGTTGGTATACCAATTTACATCTCGCAGTAGTGTATAAGTATTACGTTTACTCAATATCCTTGCCACCCTTGGTATTATTTTTCATTTTAATCATTCTACCAAGTATTTATGGTATCACATTATGACTTTAATTTGAATTTAATGCATTTGGCCCATTTTCATAGTGTTATCTGCTTTTTTTTCTAATAAATTTGTAAGAATTCTTTTTTTTTTCCTTAAAGATTTTATTTATGAGATGGGCACCTGGGTGGCTCAGTGGGTTAAGCCTCTGCTTTCGGCTCAGGTTGTGATCTCAGGGTCATTGGATCAAGCCCCGCATGGGGCTCTCTGCTCAGCAGGGAGCCTGCTTCCCCCTCTCTCTCTTCCTCCCTCTCTGCCAACTTGTGATCTTTCTCTCTCTGTTAAATAAATAAATAAAATTAAAAAAAAAAAAGATTTTATTTGTGAGAGAGAGAGAGAGAGAGCATGAGCTGAGGGGAGAAGGAGAAGGACAAGCAGACTCCCCACTGAGCACGGAGCCTGATGAGCAGCTCTATGTGGGGCTAAATGCCGGGCTCAATCTCAGGACCCTGAGATGATGACCTGAGCTGAATCAGACCCTTAACCGACTGAGCCACCCAGGTGCCCCAGTTTGTAGGAATTCTTTATGTATTCTGTGTACCAATATATTCTGTATGGGTTTACAGATATCTCCTTCCACTCTGTGACTTGCCTTTTTCCTCTTTAATGATGGTGTTTGATAAAGAGAAGTTATTAAATTTGTGGTAATTTAATATATCAATATTTTTTGCTTTATGTTAGTACTTTTTGGATCCCATTTGATTTACTCAAGGAAATCAAATGCAACCAACTGAATTAATTTTTTTCCTGCAAATTTTTTTTTAAAAACCTATGATTTATGCAGAACATTTTCGTCTCCCTTAAAGAACAGCAGTGCTTTCCCAAGAGTGTATATTTTGAACAACTGTCCTCTTTCTTTTTTTTTTAAGTCTTAAACTCTATTTTTTTTATTATGTTGTGTTAGTCACCGTATATACAATGGAATATTACTCAACTGTCCTCTTTCATTCACAAAAGCATCCACCAAACATCAAGCCTTACATAACTCAATTCCAGAAGATTTTTTCTTCTGTCCTATCAAACCCATCAATTCCATTGAGTATATTTCTCATCCTATTTGTTTCTATTCACCCATCTGCTCTATTTTCAGAGATAGCAGAGCCTATTAGATATGAAGTTCTCTAACTTCTGCTCTCCACTCCTGTCTCATAAGATAAATCCTTGTTTGTATTTATTTCCCCTCCCCCTGCTTCAGTGGAAGACATCTTATAGAAAGTAGGTCTATCCCACCTTAAAAAGCAAAATAAGATTTTTTTATTCTCTAACCCCTACTAGTTATTCCCATCTCTCTCCTTCCTGGAAAAAAAAAAAATACCTTACGTATGTGATAAAATCGCATGGAACACCCACACAATGAGTGCATGTAACACTGGTGAAATCTAACTGGGGCAGATGGATTGTATCCAATTCAATTTCCTAGTTGTGATATTATAGTATAGTTTTTATGCAAGATCTTGCCATTGGGGGAAATTGGGTGAAGGTATATTGGGTTGCACTGTATTATTTCTTACAGCTATACATGAATCTACAATTATCTCAAAATAGAAAGTTAAAACAGAAGTTTTCTAAAAGTTATCTATAATAATAACCACCATTTATTGATTGCTTGCTGTGGGCTAGGTACCATTCTAAGCACTGCCAGGTGGATACTATTGTTAACCTCATTTTATAAGTGAGAAAACTGAGGCACAACGCAGTCACTTACACAGAGTCACCCAGCTCATAGATGGCAAAATTAGTATTCAGATCCAGACAGCCTCATTCCAAAGGCAGAGCTCTGAAATGCTCTGCTGTACTTCTTGTGTATCAGTCTTCACATCCTGTCACACTTCAGTCCACCCCCTATAATTTAGCTTCTCTCCCAGTCACTCCCCTGAAACCGCTTTGCCTGGATCACCAACAAGTCTGTTCTAAGAGCACCTGGGTGGCTCAAGTCGGTTAAGCATCTGCCTTCATCTCAGGTTGTGATCCTGGGGTCTTGGAATCAAGTCCTGAGTCATGCTCCCTGCTCAGCTGGGAGACTGCTTCTCCCTCTCTCTCTGCCCCTCCCCGCCCCACCACCCTCCACCCCATTCAAGCTCCCTCTCTCTCTAATAAATAAATAAAACCTTTTTTTTTTTTTATGTCTGTTGCTAAATCAAATGGATTCTTTTTGGTCCTTACCTTTCTTCCTGCTGCCATTGACATTGTCCATACATTCAGCAAATATTTATTGAGCACGGTTCCAGACTGCTTTACTGCAGTGAACTGACCAGGCAAAGCTGCCTACAGCTGAAGGTTGTGTATGTCTTTACTTGGTATAGTTAGGGAGTCAGAATCTTCAGTCACTGCTGACTTGTTTGTGGGTGGTCAACAAGCCACCTTCTATGTTCCATGCTTTTTTTGTCCCCCCTGTGGCTAAAACAGATCCTATGGTTATTTCGTTTGTTTTGCAACATTTAGTCAGTTTAACTATATTTAGATACCATTTTCACTTTTCCCCAGATAGAAATCTGAACCTTTCCAAACAGTTGTCATGAATATGGATAAATTACGAGAGCCAAATCCTGAAGTATACTATCCCTTCTTTTATAATTATTAACAATAAATTATGAAAGTTATCTTTGCCTTTTTACCTATCTTTCTCTGCATAAGAATAATTTGGATTAGTTTTATGCCCCCTTATTTGGAAATACCAAGAAGATCTCTGCAGAATATTAAATAAGTATCGTTCTCTATGTTCAAATAAAAAGCTACTCCAAGGAAGATACTTGATTTCATGAAGACATGACGGTAGTTTCTTGCATTTCACCGAAACTGAGCATGTAAGCCGGAGTTGAAGGGAAGGAGCCATTTTGTCTCTTTCTGCGTATGCGTGGTTATTTTCTATATTTTCATTCCTTTTCCTAATTCAGTAAAGAAGAGAAAAATTTTTCTCCTGCTTTTTTCATGCCAAAAAAACAACTCTTGTTTTATTAGTTCTAGTGGAAATGTGTTTTGCTTGATGATTGGAAGCAACTATAATCCTCTTGCTTCCATCCAGGGTAACTGTTTTGGTCTGATAGCTGTTTGTTTACAGCAGCAGTTAGCAATTTGTATGGACAATGCTGCTCTCAATGAAACCCAAATGCCTCTTGGAAGAAAGATGACAGAGTCAGTCCAGCAACTTGCAAAACTTTAAAAGCAATTCCTTGTCAAACATGTGAAAAACAACTCTTCCCTCTCCGCAACTCGAGTCCAAAAATGAGAAACTATCCTACACCAGATGGTGATTCCTTGCTAGTAAAATAGGCCTGGGCTGACTCGCCTCCGTTCCTTTATGTTCCCTTTGCAAAACCCACAAAGAACACATTTGGGGCCACTTTTCAGAGTTGGCAACAGTCTCTGCGTTTTAAGGAAATCATATGGACACACACACAAAAACGCCACGATGGATGATGGGCTCGGGATCCCCAGAGTCCAGAAATGAGATACATAGGCCTTAAGTTCTAGGTCATCAGTTCGAACCTGGCCTGGACCCAAGAATCATCCTCTCTGTTGCCAGATTTGGTTGCTTGATTAAATTTGGTTAAAACAGATTGAGAAAAGGTTGTATTTCCTTGTTGACTAGATCTCCTTTTAAAAAGAAGAGGAAGAAAGAGGAGGAGGAGGAAGCAGAGGAAGAAGAGAAGGGGGGATGGGGAAGAAAGAAAGAAAAGAAAAAAGAAGGGAGAGAAGAAATAGGAACTGAAAAACAAAACAAAACAAAACACTCTATAGGATGATAAAGTGAAACCTAAATTGGAAATTACTGCAGGTCTAGAAGATTTAGTCATTAATTTTAAGGCCAGTACCTTTCTCTACTATTTACATGTGAGCTATTAGAGTGGCTTTCATATATTTAGAAATTATTTAGAGAGGACTTGAATGTGTGTGTGTATGTGCGCACGTGTGCGTGTGTTAATAACCTTGGCTTTTTTTTTTTTTACACTTTAAAAAAATATTTTATTTATTTGACAGAGAGAGACACAGCAAGAGAGGGAATACAAACAGGAGGAGTGGGAGAGGGAGAGACAGACTTCCCACTGAGCAGGGAGCCCTATGTGGGGCTCCATCCCAGGACCCTGGTATCGCGACCTGAGATGAAGGCAGACACTTAACTGACTGAGCCACCCAGGCACCCCTACCTTGGCTTTTTAAAGCTGGAATAGATGCTTCAGGACAAAATGAGACCCCTTCCCTGAGGAGATGGAAGCAGAGTCTGGTCAGCCACTTGCTAGGGATGTTGGGAAGAAGATTTAAGTACTAGAATAGTAATTGTATTGGTTAGTTTTAAAATTTTCTTCTGCATCCAAAATCCCATGCCTTATAGAATCAGTCCCCTTTGCCTGTCATTTTTTTAAAATCACCTTGATTTGGGGAGATATCAGCCACTTGAGGCAATAGCTGTTGTTGGTTGAGTCTTGCCTTATATGTAAGAAACCATTGACTGCCTTCGCTAATATCCTGTTTTATTTCTTTAGGTGTCTGAACACACACAATTAAGTTGGATCCTTACCTGCATGGTCAGATTACCCCGGTTACAGCATTTACACCAGTGGAAGGTAAATGCCAGCGATCTGATTAATAAACAAAAAGAAATTCAAAGTCCCCATTGTGACTGGTTTTTGTTTTTGTTTTTGTTTTTGTTTTCCCTTCTCCTATTTATTTTTGTGTTCTGCTCTGGGAATCCTGAGTTTACTGGCCTCCCTGATCTGTCACTCACCAGTAGCCTGAACAGCATCTTAATTTCTCTGCCTCAGGGTAGTCAATGCAAAGTAAGAGGGTTCACCAGGATTCCAATTTATTTATTTATTTATTTATTTATTTATTATTTGACAGATCACAAGTAGGCAGAGAGGCAGGCAGAGAGAGACAGGAGGAGGCAGGCTCCCTGCTGAGCAGAGAGCCCGATGTGGGACTTGATCCCAGGACCCTGAGATCATGACCTGAGCCGAAGGCAGAGGCTTTAACCACTGAGCCACCCAGGCGCCCCCAGGATTCCAATTTAAAAACAGGATAAAAATATCCACATTTTTAACTGTTTGATTTTATCTGTGTAGGTCAAATCAGAGTGACCTTTGAATAGATTTGCTAATGACCTTGGACCTACCACATTGTAATTAACAAACAGTCGCAATTTCTGGATTACTGCACCCTGAAGCTGCCTGCCATCGCCATGCAATTAGGGGGCAGTAAGGCTTAAATGTTTTCACTGTGGGGAGAAGGAGCAGCCTATTTTATTTAACATTTAAACAAGTTGAGTCCAGGCAACAGTTCAAAACCACAGAAAAATTCAGGCTGTACTTTTTCTAGGAAGTTCAACTGAGAAAGATAAATTGGATAATTCATAGTACTTCATTTCCATTTATTTTTGCAATTGGATAACCTGAGGGTAGGTAGCCCCCAAGTGCGTCAACACTGAATTTGTTTCAAACTTCTCTCCAGCATATTTTCAGGGCCGTTGGTTTCTTCAAAAGCTGGTTCAGAAGCTTCCAGATCCATCGCAGAGAGAAACAGAGTTTTAAAGTGACTGTGCCGAAATAAGAGGTTAAGGGGTAAAGCTGCAGAGTCATTACCTGCCAGGGATTACAAACAAAATGCTGTCATGCTCTATACCGTATTTTGGTTTCAGCCAAGACATTCTCATTTTCTCAAAATACTCTAAGTTGAATACCCAAATCCTTTTCAGAAGAACTGAATACTAGTTCAATGGGAATTGCTCCCACTTTAAAATCATGTCTGAGGACCTGCTGATAACACGTGACTAGAGAATGCACGAACTCAGGTTTCCCCCCACTGTCCAAAACTTGAGCATCTCTAGGAAACCTTTCATAAGCCGAAATGGAATAGAGCCATGAAGCAAGTACCATTTCATAAAGGCCAAAATCCTCTTCCGTTTTCTTTCAGTTACTGAAAGCAGGCACTAATGTCAGTCTTTTGGAAAAGCAAAGTGGTGTAATGAGAAGTTTTAGGTAGCAGGGGAAACCTATATTCTCAGGAAGCCTTTCCACCAGCCTGTGATTTCTTTTTTTTTTTTTTTTTCAAATTATTTATTATTTTTTTAGAGAGACAGAGCATGAACAGGGGGAGGGGCAGAGAGAAAGGGGGAGAAGAGAGAGAGAGAGAGAGAGAGAAGCAGACTCCCTGCTGAGCCCAGAGGCAAAGTAAGGCTCCATCTCATATCCTGAGATCATGACCTGAGCCAGAACCAGGAGTGGGTCCCTCAACTGACTGAGCCACCTAGGTGCCCACTGTGATATTTTATTTGTGGGTAAAAACATGGATTTCAATAAGTGACTCTTAATCTCACAAAACAAACTGAGGGTTGCCGGGGGGAGGGGGCTTGGGAGAGGGGGGTGGGGTTATGGACATTGGGGAGGGTATGTGCTATGGTGAGTGCTGTGATGTGTGTAAACCTGGCGATTCACAGACTTGTACCCCTGGGGATAAAAATACATTATATGTTTATTTAAAAAAATAAATTAATTTAAAAAATGGATTTCAAATGCCAATCTTATCCTAGAGCATGTAACTGCCTTCTCTGATCATCCCTTCATTAGCAAATATTGGCGATGCCTTCTGCAAGTCTCATACCACACTAGGGCTGGAGGTATAGCAGTCAACAGGACAGACAGAAGTAGCCACTTTCATGAGGCTTGTGGTCTCTTTGGGCAGAGACAATTGCACAAGCAATCAGGAAGTGTGAAAAGTGAACAGAAGGAGGGGTCTCGATACTGTAAGAGGATCTAAGAGCTTGGTTTTGATTGGAGGGAAATAGTAGACTAGAAAGGTAGGATCTGGGCTACCAAGGTCATGGTTATTTGCAGGATTCCACAGGGGGTAACACAGATATGGGAGGCATCTGGGGCACATAATAGGCACTCAATAAATATTAATGCTCTCCACATCAACCCCCTTCCTTTGTAATTTCAAGTATTCTAATATAAAAGTATTCTAATTTAAAAAGACTATAAATTTAATGCAGTAGCACTTTTTAAAAATTGGGTTCTTTTCCCATTTGCTCATGGCCAAACTAAACTTTTATTATCTTTATCTCAAGATTGCAAACTGGGCTTTATCATGGACATTGCAATAAAAAGATGTACTGAAGGAATTCTGGGTTCAAACTTTCAAATTTCCTTTGAGTGACCTATAGCATTCGTTGCTGTAAGCTGGAAAATACTAGAAGTAACCAGAAGAGTTAAGTTTGTACCTGAGTGAGGGAATATCAAGACCGATTCAGAATTGTTTCAATTAAAATTTCTCTTCATTTCATTTTTTAAATCCCATGACTGTTGGTATTTTGGTGTTTTTTTAAGTGTGATTTTGGGGTGCCATGACATTTTTGTCAGTAGCACAGTGGGGGACTTCCCAGGAGGTTTCCACGGATATAACAATATGGCTTTCGATGTTAACTTGTCAAATTAATTAATAATGGAGTTTCTATGATTTGGAACCTAGAGACTCTTCTCCCCGGGCTTTAATTAAATGCACCAGAAATAGGGGCACTGTGGGACCCCTTCCGGGGGCAGTGGTGAAGCGGATTTCCCTTATTCCTGCCTCAGCCTGCAGCAGGAACCCTGCAGTCACATGGCTTTCTGTGTTGCTAGAAGGAACTGAGATATAATGGTAGTACAGTAGCTTTAAAGATTGCTTAACATAGCGGTATCATTAGATTCACAGCTGATTTCTTTCCTTCCTCTCTTTTCACCACCTAGGCGAAGGTTGCCACACAGAAGCATGGCGGGACCGTAGGCCTGCTCACATACCCAGTGCTCCAGGCTGCTGACATCCTGTTGTACAAGTAAGGAGCAGAGTGTACCCCTGGGTCTTATGCATACTGACGAGAGAGTGTTCAAGCCCATCCCCAAAAGATTTGGCTCACAGGGAATGGAGCTATACAAAGGATTGTGTGAATCAGTTTGTGTCTATTACCCAGTAAAAGGTACAAAATGACAGAAGGCTGTTTTACTGTGAAACTAGTAACATGAAGGGCTCACACTTACACAGCACTTACTATGTGTTGGAAACTATTACAAGTGCCTAGCAGACATTCACCCTGTTAATCTTCACAACCACCTTGGGAAAGTTGCACAACAATCATCCCCATTTTACAGATGAGGAAATGAAGGTACGAAGTGGTTAGTCACTCGCCCAAAGTCATGGAGCTAGCAGAGCTTGGGCCCAGGATCTGAGTGTAGAAAGTTTGGGTAGAGGGTTGCGGTGCTCGTAACTACTCTGCAGTATAGACTTCCCTGGTAATAATAAAGCTTCAAGAGTTTTAAGCATTGCTCTCTCAAACAATCTAGATTCTAAAGCAATGCTGTGTAATAGAACTTGCCTGCAATTATGGAAATGATCTGTGCTTTCCAAGGCCTTAGCTGCTAGCCACAGGACATGTTGGCAGAAGAACAGAATTTTAAGTTTTACTTAATTTTAATAATTTAAATGGAAATAGCCACCTGGATCTGATGGCTACTGTATTTGATCAGCTGTTGAGAGCAATTTTTTCAACACGCTAGGGTGCCCTACTTTTCCTGGACCCATAATCCCTCTAGTCAGCCAATGCTGTCCCTCTACAGGTCTCAGACCCTACAACCAGAGGATGCTGAAGCCTGCCCTATCTGTACTTCTGACCCTATCCCTTTCCCAGTCCTTTCCTGCCATCCCCACATCACCTCCCTTGCCCCCCAGTTAGCCTTCTAGAGATAAAGCTTCCCAGTAGGCATGCACACATAGTCAAGCCTCACTTATGAGGAAAAGGAGAAACTCTGTCAATCTGTTTTTCCCTGAAGCCTTAACCCTGCGAAAGTGATTCTTCCCTAGGAAAACTAGAATTCTTTGCATGTAAATACGACAATAGCATGGAGATGACAGTATCTATACCTCATAGTACGACCCCAGATCCCTTGTGCCAGTATGATGGAAGCAACCAGAAGAACAACTGCTTAGCTTCACAAATCAGGAACGTCCTTTAATACATGCAGGCTATCTTTAATTCTGCTCAAAACATACATGAGGATTGTGTGTTGTTGTATTAATTTGAATGTTGGATTCCTAGCGGCATTTATTACTTTTAGTAAGTAACTTTTGACTTATCCTGGGAAATCTAGGATTTACTAGGATAAATCTAGGGAAATCTTTTTCTCCAGGAGTAGCAAATGGAAGTCTAATAAAGGTCTAATACATTTCCCAGCAAAATAGTGTGTTTTCTCACCTGTAAATGGGAATATTAATTATAGTTGCACAGAATTAGTCAAAGATTAAAATGAAATATGGGCCAGGCAGTGCTGTGACTGGGAGCTGTCACTTGGTCATGCCTGGTGATGATTGTCTCTAACGATCATAGTCTTATGTCAAATTTCACTTTCAGGAGAGACTTTTTTTTTTTTTTTTTTTTTTTTTTTTAAGAAAGAGTGGGTGGAGGCAGGGGCAGAGGGAGAGGAAGAGAGAGAATCTTTTTTTTTTTTTTTAAGATTTTATTTATTTATTTGACAGAGAGAGAGATCACAAGTAGGCAGAGAGGCGGGCAGAGAGAGGGGGAAGCAGGCTTCCTGCTGAGCAGAGAGCCCAATATGGGGCTCAATCCCAGGACCCTGAGACCACGACCTGAGCCAAAAGCAGAGGCTTAACCCACTGAGCCACCCAGGTGCCCCGGAAGAGAGAGAATCTTAAGCAGGCTCCACACCCAGTGTGGAACCTGAAGCTGGGCTCAATCTCCTAACCCTGAGATCATGACCTGAGCCAAAATCAAGAGTGGGAGGCCTAACTGACTGAACCACCCAGGTGTCCTGCAGAATTTTTTTTTTTTTAATTTACTTATTTGAGAAAGAGAGAGATCATGAGAGAGAGCATGAAAAGGGAGAAGGTCAGAGGGAGAAGCAGACTCTCTGCGGAGCTGGGAGTCCAATGTGGGACTCGATCCCAGGACTCCAGGATCATGACCTGAGCCAAAGGCAGTTGCTTAACCAACTGAGCCACCCAGGCACCCTTGGGGGACTTCTTTATAGAAGCAAAGGCTGAGGTTTGTCAGCACCAGAAGACGGAAGCCCATGAGCACAGGTGATTTCCTTAACAGTTCAAGAGCTGTCCTGTGAGAGTCCTCTAAGCTCAGGGCTGTGAAAGAGAGTAAACTTGAGCAAGAGTGATTGTCCCCTTTGTGATACCATGGAGCACAGAGTCAGGGGGACTTTTACCGGTCCTGTCCTGCAATTCCCTAGCTTTACAAACACAGCCCAGGGAGGGTAAGCACTTTACACAAAGCTGCACAGCCAGTCAATGGGCAGTGGAGCATCTGGGCCTGGTTATGGTCTCCTGAGGCCTATGCTGACCTTCCTTAAGGAACCAGTAGTTATAATCTGGGGCAAGATCATCACATAAGCAACAAGGACGATACAAGGTCATATATACTAAAGTGATGATGAGTTGATTTTTTGCTCATTGCCCAAACTACAATTAGCAGAATGATAACATCCTACCATTGCTTTCATCTTTAAAGTTAGGAGCCAATGAGACATAGCTTAAGGGGTTATTGAGCAAAGGATGTATGAATTGGTATCACCTACCATATGCTCAGTACAAATGTTTCAAGAGTACAAGCAATATTGTAAGAGGCTGACACCTGGCAAGAGTAGCTCCTGATCACTGTTTTCAAGCCAGGCCTGAGGTTGTGAGGGTCTTCTTTTACAGAAAGAAATTTTGGATAATTATTTCTCATAGTTAGTTAATGCTTCCAAGGATAAGTTGCCCCCAGGTAACTTCCCCCCTCCTTCACCCCCCCCCCCCCCGACCCCCTCCCCCCCCCCCCCCGCCAACTCCTGGGAAGCAAAGAAATTCCTATACTATACATATTCTTTCTTTAACTCTTACTGATCCGTTTGGTAGTTAGCATATACACTAAGAATGCCATGTAATACCTTTCTTTTTCCTCTTTTCTAAAAGGAAGCTATGGTAGCAGATTGTTATGTATCCCCATCAGGTTTCTGATGTTTTATATATAATTCATTAAGCAGAGAAATTTATTTAAAGTATTAAAACCAGGTAATTACCTACGTTCAAGACGACTGCCTCCTACCTTAGCTTAGCAACCATCTACCTGCAATGCCATAATTAGATCCTGGGCGTGGAATAGACAACGGCATGATCCTTTTCTTAAGAGAAACAGCCCTACATTTGCCTCCTATCTGGTCTCTGGCCGGACCTCCAGCCTCTGTCTGCACATTCTCTGCTTGTAGGCTCTGGTCCTTTGGGCTCCTTTCTCCTGCCTTCCTCCTTCAGACTGTCCCCATGGGGACCGTTGCTACACACACGTGTCCCACATTTCTTGGGCATGTGTGTCCCTTGGACCCCTCCAAAGTATGCAGACAAGTACCATAAAATCAGTTCTGGTTTCTGCAGCATTAATGCTGCTAACGTACATTTCTTATCTGTTTCATTATGCTTCGCCTCCCAGGCTTAGAAATGCCTAACTGCTTTGTATTAAGTAGCAGAGACAGGACTCAAACCCAGGTCCGATTTTTAACCTGTGCCATTGTTTTCCCTACAGCACAGCTCAAGCACTTGGGGTATTTTTTGTTTGGTTTTTGTTTCAGATAGTTCTGGATTTGGAAACAGGTCATAACCAGAATGTCTATGAATATTTACATTGTAAGTATAACGAACAAGCAAGTTAGACGGATTCAAAAAACATTTGTATTTTCTCCCTCCAGTCAACCTCTATTGTAGCCTCTTTACCAAATGCTGATGCAAAGCGTGTGTAGATTTTGTGTTTGCTTTTGTCAATAACAGCACTGGAGTAAGTGGGACATGGTGGGCCAGAGAATAAACACAAGGGAAGGGAATGAAAGGAGAGCCTTCCAGATAAGCATATGAGAGATTTATTCCATTGTTTTGGTAGAACTTGGTATGAGACCCAGGAATGGAAAGCTGAGACCGTCTTAGGCTTGAGAATATAATAAAATAGCAGATATTTGAAGAGGGGCAAGATACCGAACAATGGCATTTGCTCCAAGTTTTTATTTTGCATCTGCATTCTTTTTCTGAATATCCAATTTCAAGTAACTGGGTATATATTAAGAAAATGCTTCTGTCTCCCTTCCTCTCTCTCTCTACACACACACACAGTTTTTATTGACATGTAGTAAATACATGTTAAGTACCCGCAGTGCTGCTTATCCAGAGAAAAGCTCTCTGCATGGACTTGAGCGAAGGGAAGGAAGGAATTAACAGAGGTGGGCATAGTGGTCAGGCGCTACACACACGCTAACTATTCAGATTCTCAGAGCGGCTCTGCAAGACAGGTAAGTGATATCATCCCCATTTTATAGATAAAGAAATGAAGTTTGAGAGAAGTGCTACTAAGTCTGCTCAAACAGACATGAGATCGATCGCCTGGGCTAACCAGTGTCTCTTCTCCGAGAACACAATCGGAGAACCATGGGAAGGGGGTAAGAAGAGAGTGAAAGCAAAAGCTGACATGACGTAGGAAAATGAGCAAACAGAGGCCTCAGGAGCTGTGAGTAAACAGAACCAAAGCCAACCAAAATCAGAGCGTAGAGAGGATGACGGCTGGTTGGCAAGCTTCACACTTGCTAATTCCAGAGAAGAGATGAATTGACCATAATGTCTGAGAATGCCATCGAGGACAATCGAGATAATCTGTTTCTAAAACTGCTTGAGGGACTTCTGGTTCTTGAATTATACCCTTTCTCTGTGAGGCTGGTCTGTCCCAAATTTTTGTGAGATCCTGAAAGCTGCTGTCCAAACCTCATTGTAGCTGTCTGCCACCGTCCACATACTCACCCG